ACATTCTTCTCTCCTACTACTTTCTATTTTTTTGACTATCTCATTCTTCTCCATTCATTTGCATGCGTTCATTCAAGAGTGAACTGCAATTTTAAATAAATAATTTATCACTCTCCCACTCTTTTCAATATTTTTACTCACCCATTTTACTTCTTCTTTTCGCATTCCTTTTACTATTTTTACTTTCTCATTCTTGTTCCTCCTTTTGTATACATCCATGCATGGATGAACTACAACTATAAGTAGAGTATCACTCTTTCACTACATTCAGTCTTTTTACTTTCTCATTCTTCTTCTTCATCTCGCACTCCTTTCAATCTTTTCACTCTCTCACTATTCGTCGAACAAAATAATCTGATTTATTACACCTTAACACAATGCTGAAATCAGCTTGACATTATTCCCAATAAGTGATATGTAAAATGATAAATTCGAAATAACATCTCTTGCATAAAAACTTGAACCTTTTGGCGAATTCCACAATCGTAGTGTTATCATCTAAGCTTCCAACAATATGATGATAACTTAGAGAACTAGCCGGGTAGTTCTCCCGTGGGTCTAAAATCATGACTTTAATTTGCAAATTAAAAGCAGCTTGGCATAGCATGCGATAGAGGGAAAGAGGAAAGAAATTCTCGAGTACTTATCCCCACCACTGATTGTGAAATTTCGTTGCTGTGTCAGAAGAAGGATAGCTATACTGATTCGGTATACTCGAAAGACACCCTTGGTACAAAATTGACGATCTAACAAGGATTCTATTTCAGTAAATTTCTACTTACTGATCTCTCATCTTTTGTGGAATCGATCCACCCTTTGACTGTAAAAAAAAATGTGGAGCTCAACATGTCTGGAAGCACAGGAGAACGTTCTTTTGCTGATATTATTACCAGTATTCGATACTTCACCTCCTCCCATAACGCCAACAATAATCTTTTTATATGGTCCACTGATGTGTAATTCATCATTGCTACACACACAACATCATGGTGGAAATATGTAGGATTTTTATGACATTTTCAGTTTCAGAAACTTTACACTAGAACTTCTTATATTTACCAGCTTTTGAGTCCGAGAAAGCTGGAAATTGGTAAAAAGTGAAAAATAAACCCCATTATTACAAATGCAAAAATTAACCTCAGAAAAACTAGAGAAACACAAGCCTTAGATAAATTGCATCCTCAGATGCTTGACAAGTGAGGTGGGCCTGGTGATACTTCTTTACCTTTAAACACAGAAAGAAAGTGGTTTCTTCCTGAGTGATATTGTGGTAGTAGAGGGATGACAACGTTCGTAGGCAACGACCACAGAATGCGCCCACACATAAGCATAGTTCAAAACTGAAAGGCTGAAAAACCCATTTGGCTTATAGGAAAAGTTGAAAAAGAATTTTTTTCCCATTATATATATATATATATACAGAAAAATATTTCTGCAATATTTATGGAGTTAATGCTGATAAGTTATCTGCATTTGCTTTCAAATCGACGTCGTTTTAGGATTGAAAGATTAGAAAATTATAATTATAAAGACTATAATAACCCTGAAATAAATTAAAATTACAAAAACTCCATGATTTCCGCCCTAAAACGACGTCGTATAGGGCTTAGTGCAGATAACTTATCTGCTGTAACTGCAGAAAAAACGAACCTATATATATATATATGAGTAATTACATTTTTCTCTCCTACTACTTTCTATTTTTTTGACTATTTCATTCTTCTCCGTACATTTGCATGCGTTCATTCAATTTTAAATAAATAATTTATCATTCTCCCACTCTTTCCAATATTTTTACTCACCAATTTTTTTTTTACCCATCCATTTTACTTCTTCTTCTCGCATTCTTTTTACTATTTTTACTTTCTCGTTCTTCTTCCTGTATTTGTATACATCCATGCATTTGTATTCCACCTTCAAGAATGCTGAAATCAGGACCTTAAAAACAAATAACACGATCTAATATATAGAGAAAATTCCCCAAGTAAGTGACCAAAATGTAAGTTTTATAAAATGAGTAATATATATATAATTATTCGCTTATCTCTTTCCGCACCAATGGTCTTGTGGTAGAATAGTACCCTATCACAGTAGAGACCCGGGTTCGATTCCCGGCTGGTGCATATGTTTTCATATTTTTCTCTGTCAGAATCATATCTCATTCTGCTCCACCGAAGCACGAACACGCGGTTTGAAATTTTTTTTTGTGTCGGACACGTGTCCGACACGGACACGCGGTCAACATTTGGGGACACGCGGTCAACTCTGCGACACGTTCCGACACGTTTTTCGGACACGCAGTCAACGTTAGGACACGCTTCGACACATTTTTTTTTTAAATTTTAATTTTATTTTGTTAACTAAATATAAAAGAAATAATTTATAAATTAATTTTTTTCTGTTATGAAATTTGACATGAAAAATTAACAAAGTACAAAAAATTATTTATATTTATATTTATGTTATGAAATTTAAATATTTGATTGGTTATATGACTTATTATTGACTCTTATATGTATTAAATATAAATTATATTATATATATTAAAAATTTATTTAATATCAAAACGTGTCCCAACGTGTTCAAATATGACATATTTTAGAATTAACGTATCGGCGTGTCGTGTCGTATCGTGTCCCGTGTCCATGTCCGTGCATCATAGTTTTGCTCAGTCTTATGAATAGATGATATTAATACAAATCTCACAAATAACAAGTAAATCCAAGTTGTTCATTAAAGTTAATATAAAATTTCACTTAATAATAAAAGAATGGGACTTATGAATCTCTGTCAAAGTAGATGTTTTATTTCATGCCGTAAAGACAAAATACTATTTTTTTAAAAAAAAAAAAAAAGAGATGGCACATTTATCCATCAACAAGAGAATTACATTTCCCTAAAAAGAATATTGTATAAGAGTGTAAAATAATATTATTGATAGCAGTTCTCATTTCTTTTTATTTCATTCAAGCGAACCAGATTACCATTGACAACCATGAAATTTCTAGTACCAACACACACATATATCAAGTTTATTGTAGGAACTACAGCCAACAATCATAGATGAAACTTTTATTTTATTTTTTTTGGGCGAAGAAGCTTGACATTCACGAACAATATGCATAATCTAGACGCCAAGATATTTAACTCCTTAATTCATGGACTAAATGGGAGCAATCAATCCTCTGCCACTAATCAGCACGAAGCACTATTGCCTCCAGCTGCAATATAACTGCATCGTTGCTTAAAACAGCGAGTTCTTCCTCAGGAAGCACCACCTTCACCGTTCTTGCACGCCCTCCTTCCGAGGAAGGCATCATCATGATCAACCCCTCACCATTCACATTCCCCACATGACACAAAACATGAACTGGCTTCTCATTATTGCTGAAGATTGCTGAATATATCAAAGACTGATCCGCGTCTAACTTGTGTTGTGACGAAACTATCATGTGCTCCATGCAAACACATGTTAACTCAGACCCATACATGCAACTAGGTGGTCTATACATCAGGCATATCATCCCAAGCAATGAGAATTGAGAAGTGCCTCTTGGGATCCAGTGGCAGATTTGAGCCATTCATGAAGGGTGGTATCCACATTGGCCTTTATGACCCGAACTCCCGCATCATTGTACATGACTTTCCAGTTACCATCTTTCCCTCGGGCCAACCGACCCGTCATATTTGGGCACAGAGTAAGAACTTGACAGAGTGACTCTCTGAGGGGGTCCAATTCAAAGGAGCCAAGCAAGTTGTGATGGTCATTGTAATAGAAAATTATGTGGAGAGTGTGGAAACCCATGGCATGATCCAGCGCTGATAAGGAATTGCCCTTACCCGACGTCTCGATGGGTTTGCTGGATACAACCGTTAGTCTTGAGTGCATTTTTACGCTGCTGTTGGACCACGACATTGACATGGACTTGCTTGGCTAATGGTGGCTAAGCACAGAGTCTATGACAGAGAGAGAGAGAGAGAGAGAGAAAAAAAAAATAGGAATATATGTGAAACTGAGAGTGAAGGAAAGACCAATAATGTCAAGAATTGGTCTATACTGAACAGTTGCTAATTGAAGATAGACGTACTGAGACAGGTCATTTTATTTATGACTGCATCTGCCTATTTTTCTATTATTTTCCTTACCTTTATTATGCTAAATAATCAATATAAACTTTTTATTAATTGAAAACATTCAATGCGAGAAATCATAATCATACAAAGGATGAAAGCATTAGATGTGGGAAATGATTTTATATATATATATATATATATATATATATATATATATATATATATATATATATATATATATATATGAGGTAGGATCCTTTGACACCAGTGTCAAATTTTGAATTTTGACACCTCATTTAAAAGCCATTAGATCAAAAAAAATCAGCGGCTTTGATTAGTAAGCATGTGACACCATTGATCTTTTTTTATCCAATGGCTCTTAGATGAGGTGTCAAATCTCAAATTTGACAACTGATTATCTGATAGCCATTAATTAGATCAAAAAAAATCAATGGTGTTACATGCTTACAAATCAGAGTCGTTGATCTTTTTTTATCTAACGACTCTCAGATGAGGTGTCAAATTTGAAATTTGATATTGTTGTCAAATGATCCTCTCTCTCTCTATATATATATATATATATATATATATATATATATGGAAATATTAGTCTCATTTTACATGAGGTAGCTTATCTCATTTTCTCTCACTTCGATTTCCACACCTCACTTTTTTTTCTTTCTTTTTTTCTTGTAATAGTGGAACCCACCTAGTTTCTCTCTACAACATATAATACCTATCTTATGTAAAATGAGATTAATAAAACTCATATATATATATATATATATATATGGTATACTTTTTTTTTTAGTACACACTCCACGTATACTTTACGTTACTCAATATGATTGTGTCACATAACACAGTTCAATTTTTATTTTTATGAACAAGAATAAGAAGTATGCATACAATAGGAGTGAGATCATGAAAACTTGCATAACTCAAAGTGGCATCAAATGTAACTTTAATGTACGAGACTTTGGTAAATAGTTCCAAAAAATGCTCTTGTTTGATGAAAAAAAATACCCTTCTCCCCCTCTCAGCAGAAGTTAAGAACTCGCAGGTTTAGGTTACTGGTAGTCAGATGTTAAATCCACTTTCTTTCTGCTAGTTAATAGCATCCACCTCTCTGTAAAAACATTGAGAAACACATATAAGATTCCAGCCGGTGATGGCTAAATTAGTAGCAGGGAGCTAACTAATTGAAAAGAAAAAGATTTCAGTTTAATCCCAACATGTCATATTTGAAAAGAGTTTAAATATCTTCATATCTAACACGCCCCACACTCTGAATTAATCTCGTAACCAGCTCAAAGAGTAGAAGCTTGTGAAGATACTAGAAAGAACCAACTCGCCTCAAAGAAATAATTAGGACTGAGTTAACTCAAAAAAAAAAAAAAAAATAAAGCTCGAATTGAGCAAATTTGGAGATCATTGCGATATGGTATAACCAAATTTTCATGTCAGCAAGGGAATGACGAGTCAGGTTGTCTTTGCTGTAAAACCTTGTCTGGCTTGTTATCAAAAAAAAAAAAAAAAAAAAACCTTGTCTGGCTTGGGCTATTGTAGCCTTAGTAGGAATTTATTACAAAAGATAGCCTTTATTGATTGTTATTTTCACAATAAACGTTTAATAAATTAAATAGAAATAAAAACCAAATTATGAGTACTTAATAATGGTATATAGAATCTCCAAAAAAATAAAATAATGGCATATAGTTAAACATCATTCACTTCATTAACAAAAACCGGCGGGAATAGATGTATCTCTGGCATTTAAATTAATAAAATGAAGTTTTGACTTCATAGTTTTGTAACAAATAACTTCATAATTCCTAGAATGTAAGTCTTGGGATATAAGTTGCTAACTAACACAAGCTTACAAACCTATTGAATTTCAGAATTTGTATGAAGTTTCGAAATATCAAACGTTTCTACTAAAAAATTATAAAGGGGGTTAGAGGAATGTACATATTAGTAACCCATCCCGTATATTGCATACAGACAAAATCGCACCTGTGCAACCAGCATATGGTAGTTTCTGAACTTTTTTATTCTGCCAAAAATGTCTCCCTTAGCTTCAATAACCTATAAATAATTACTTTTGACAGTTTTACCGTGCGACCAAACCAGCGATTGCACAAATTTGGTCATAATAAGCAATACGCCCCCAACTACAGTTCACAAGAACTCTGTTATTAAAGTGATTAGTTCAGAGCAGGAAAAAAAGTGATTATACAGGTAAATAAGTGCAAAGGTGAACAGAAGCAGCAGGTAAAACCATCATTGGTGCAGGTAGCTGTTATATTCCTAAATCTTAGTGGAATAATTGTAACAGATGACGAGGACACCGTCAATGCAGTCTAGTTCTTTCCAGATTCAGTCATTCAAGGTATTTCTAACCTCAATAAGTTTTTACATATTTCCAAAACATGTAAAAAGACACAACAGACAGCCATGCCACTTGAGTGTTACCTCCTATCACATGAATCATCACAACCATGCAGATATACTGTGCATTAGTCTTATATGAAATGAGATGGACATTGGAAGTCATAAATTATCATTCATGAAGCTGAATATAACATTTCCAATCAAAATTTCTAAGGATGGATAAGGAACTTGAATCTACTCTTTCCAGGGGATCAATGATCCTCAATCTTCTTCAAACCCTTCATGTCTGTTGTTTCGACTCTGCATTAAAAGCAAAATATCAGAAAATTCATTTGGTAATACTTTATATAATTAAAATACAAACTCTTAAAATGTAGATAAGATTTTATAACAAGAAACTTTGCATGCTCCAATAAGTTTCATTTATAGTTTATCCCAACCAACCCCTTTCCCAGGTAAAAAAGAAAGGTGTATTTACACACGTGCATGTCAATTATGCAGGATTCCAAAATGGCAATGCTTCAAACACAGTATGACACAAGCAATATATTAGACACAACATTGTTTCTTTTGCTAGAGCCCGATTGAAAACAAAATTACATAAAAAAATAATGTTAAATAATTATAGTTGGATGAATAAACCGAGAGATATGACAACCCAATTAAGGGAAACAAACAAACAAAATGCAAGTTATCAGGGGCTTGAGAATTCTGTATCCACAGCAAAGGAAACTTAAAATTGTAGTGTAGGTCTGAAAAGAGGGATAAACGAACTGATAGATTGTTTAAAACTTACGTTGTACCATACAGCAGAATCTTCTGAACTTTTGTGATCTCAGAATCTGTCTGGTTGTCCTCAATAAAAATTGTCAAGCTGATCAAGTAAATAAACATGAATTAGCAGCTATCCTCACCAATTGAACGAATAATAATGGAAGGCACCTTCCAAAATGAAGGAATTCTTGAAAATAACATACCTACGAACATTTTGGAACTTGACATACTTTAAAATCACCGGTTTCCCCTGTCAGAGTACAAATTGGATAATTGCGATGTCAATTATTCCAAACATATGCGAAAAAAGACATCATCGAGTAGCATTAGGGCATACATCATGCACTAGGGAGAAGAGAGAGTAATGGAATAACTACCTTAAGGTTTTCCGGGGACAAAACTGCCTCATCGCTTGGTGGAAAATCACTGACATTACTGTCAATAATAAACAATCAGCAACCAATTGAATTACATGATACAAGTGCTATGACATACAAACAATTAAGGCCAAAGCCAAACCATACCTAAATCCCATGTGCTCCTTGTTAGAAAAGAGCTTCACTGTCTTGGGGCCTAAAACAGAACATTGAATTCCAATTATAATCATTCCAACAGAAAAGCGTGCAGTATGAAATCAGTGAAGAAGATCATATAGATAAACAGAATAATCATCTTTTAGCATCTGAATTAAAGTTGCAAAACAAAAAAGGACATGTTATATCTACAATATTTACATCTTATGTAACATGAAGGAACTAAGAGCATGTGCGTAAGGAGGGCACCTTCATCTTCAGGACCTTTGATAACAACGGAGTAGAGTTTAACGACTTGTGTGAAAGGAATATAAAGCAAAAGCTGCTCATCAGCATCACTCTCCAGATGCAAATCATCGTCTTCTCTATAACCCTATTTACTAAACAAATACAGTAAGATACACAATAAATCGTTCAATTGCAGAAAAGCAGAAAAGTTGGGTCGATTAAAATGAAAAAAAGAAAAAAGAAACCTGTTTGATAGCATTGGGGAGTGAGTGGGTGGAACTCTGATTGAGGCATTCAACACCAGACCAGTCTATGAAGTCTAAGAGATCAACCTGATCACCAAAAACAATAATCAAAAGGTCAGAAGTTTCATCGATTCCATTCGTTAACGATTCGAAAACATTGAATCTTACTTGACCCTTATGAACAGCGCTCGCTGATTCCCCAGACATTGCTATACGACAGGCGCAAGAGAGAGAGACAGAGAGAGAGAGAGAGAGAAATAGGGCGAAGAAGAAAGAGAGAGAATCAAATATCAATGGCCGAAATGAAACCCACCTCGGAATATTGTTATGCTGGAACCTGCAGGCTTTATCAAAAAAAAAAAAAAAAAAAATTCCCGAATGCAAAACGACGACGTTGAACTGTTTCAATGGTGTTTTTTGTTTTTATTTTTTAGAAATGCTGGAATTGATTACTTTATTGAAAGTTGAAACAGTTTTTTTTCTTTATTTCCCGCTTCACATAATTAGTGTCGTATATCAAAAATAAAATAAAAATTACTCTTGTAAATTTAGCTTATTTTGTAATTAATTTTAACTTAACAAAAATTTGATTTATATAAATTATTATTTTATTTTATTTACAATTTTAAAAATTAACATATTTATTGATCATTAAAAAACTATTTTTTAAACAAATCAATTTTTAAAAAATTAAATAATTACCAAATACTTTATATTTAAAAACTAATTCGTTACATTTAAACATCTCATTTAGTGTTATAAAAATAAAATAAAAAAACTCAAATTGGGGCCTGTTGAACCAAGGAAGTGGGCTGTTAATTGGTCTATTCGATAATGCATGTAACCGTCAAGAATTGATGAACCGGATTTAATATATGCTAACTCGATACTAATTTTTAGATTGAACCGGTTTTTAAAAGGAGGAATGCTATATTTACCATAAAAAATATTTACCATCTTATAACTAAGGGTTTGATGTTTGTCATTTTAAATGACATAAGTTATGTCATTTTAGGAAAGAGATAGACATAAGAAATGAAAACCATGGGAGAGAAAGTGAGTGGTTTTTTTTTTAATTTAAATTTTAAATAATTTTTTTTTGTGTGTCTATATCTCTCTTAAAATGACATATATTTATGTCATTTAAAATCTTTTCCCTATAAGTAAATTAAGGGTTGAATCTTTTTCATATTGCAGGAGAAAATCTTCTACACAAACATGAAAAAGTATTTGATGCCCATACAGAGCTAGGGCCGGCAAAATAGGCGGAGCCCGCCGGGCTGGCCCGCCCCGCCTGCCAAATGGGGCGGGCTGGGTTGAGTTTTTCAACCCACCAGCCCGCCAAACCCGCCCCGCCAAACCCGCCAGCCCATATGGGTCAGCCCGCCACGGGGTGGGCTAGCCCGCCAAGTCCTTTTTTTTTTTTTTTTAGGTTGCCCAATTGTTATGTAGCTCCGTATCTTAGATTTCTCTACATGCAAGTGGCTTTTTTGAATTGTTGTGGACTGCTCATGCAACACTTTGTTACTTGTTTTGTTACTCTATTTTATCCTGATATGATTTTTTTTTATTATTATTATTTTTGGATTGAAAGATGCATATTTATATGCAGATTATTAAACACTGATCTTCTTGGTTTCATAAGCACATTAGGATTTTATGCAGATTTTTGTATGCTTTTATGCAGAATTTAATTTTTTGTATTTTATTTTTATATTTTTTTTATTTTAGGCGGGCTGGCGCGTAGCCCGCCAGCCCACTCATAAAACGGGCCGGGTTACTCAATTCAACCCATTTTGTCAAAACGGGCCGGGGCGAGCCAGCCCATTTTGAGCGGGCTAGTGGCGGGCCGGGGCGGGCTGGCCCATATTGCCAGCCCTATACAGAGCCATGTGAAAGAGAAGAGAGAGAAAAAAAAATATTTTCACTTATGAGTGTATAGGAGATAAAATTTATCTCCTACAACATGAGAAACATTATTCCCCTAATTAATCGCTGATATACTTACATTTGACTCATTGCATATGGCCAACTATTGTTTCAAAAAGTTCGAAGTCAACTAGAATTGGGGCCCAATAAGTATGGCGTAATTGTTAAAAGAAACAGCAATTTGAAATATAACAAATTACGATCAAATATAAATACAAATAAAATAACATATATGATTGTAATTTGTTTGGCAAAAAAAGGAAAGCGACATATTTAACATGATTTGAGATCTAAGATTTGGAACATGTTTTGAATGATTTAATTATAATTATTTATTTAATTTTAGAAGTTAATTATCGTTATATTTATTTTTAGGAATTTTTTTTATTTTTAGGATTTTAAATTTTGAATTTTGATTAATTTTTAATTAGTCTACAAAAGGGTGCTTATGAGTTATGACCCTTATTGTAGAAGTTGAATTTTGTTATTTTGATAATTATATTTTAGAAATAAAGGGTTAATTACTCTTTTATGAAATCTCAACTTTTTGTTTAGCCACATTTTCTATGCGCTTTCGATATCATTTGGTATTAAAGCACTAGGTTGCCTTCAACGTATGGCTAGTAGAATCGTAGGGGTCATCGATTGCGGAGTCGTGAAGGCAAGGGACATGGATTCGTTTCTAAAGAAGACAAACAACCGCGTCAGATAAAGCCACGTGATAGAAAATGAAGAGCCTCGAAGGTGGATCTAGTATTTGAAGCAACAACTTAGCAAGCGTTGGATACGAAAACTCAAGCTTTGGAGCGACTACTTGTGCGGGGGCAAAGAAAGAAAATTCATGATTTGGAGTGATGAGTCGTGCGGGCGAATATCGAGAAAATTCAAATTTTGAAGAGACAACTTGTGGAGGCACGGAGAATGAAAATCCAAGATTTGGAGCGGCGACTTGCGTGGACAAAGTTGGACATTCAATCTGGAGCGACGATTTTGGCATTTGATGAATGACGAAGAGAAGGACGTCAATCCCTTAGGATTGTAAACAATAGACAGAATACGACATGAAAATCAGTCCACTTTTCAAAATATAGAGATGCAATTAACATTCTTAACTTTGATGTCTATGATCATAACATAGTTTACGATGATTATCCCATTTGTGATAATTATCCATCTTATGATAAAAATTTAGTTTATGATAATAATCCAGTTTATGATAAAATTGATAGAGAATCTGATGATGAAGATCTAATATAGGAAGAATTCTCCATTAAGTTTTTACCTAAAGAGATTGATATCAATGAAGATTAAGAAGATTCAAGTCAAGGACGAATATTTTCCTAGAATAGGAGAATGGTGCACTTACATTTGACTCTTTGCATTGGCTCAATCATTGATTCAAGAAGTTTAAAGGCAATCATAATTGTATGTGGTCCAATAATTATGACTCAATTGTTAAAAGAATAATTAATTTGAAATATAACAAATTACGATCAAATCTAAGTTCAAATAAAAAAGCAGATATGATTGTGATTTATTTGATAAAGAAAAGAAAAGCAACACATTTGACATGATTTGATATCTAAGATTTGAGATGTGTTTTGAATGATTTAATTATAATTATTTATTTATTTTTAGAAACTAATTACTGTTATATTTATTTTTAGTAATTTTTCTTATTTTTAGGATTTTAGATTTTGAATTTTGAATCAATTTTGAATTTGTCTTAATGATCAATTAAAAAAGGTAAATGATTTCTCCAGTCACCGGATATAAAGTTATCTCCAGTGAGCTTAAAACGACGTCGTTTTGAGATAGAAATTAAGATATTTTTATAATTATAATATATTGTAGGGTTATATTAGTCTTTGTCTTTATAATTTTTTAATCTTATAACACAAAACGACGTCGTTTTGAGCTCACTGAAGATAATTTTATCTTCGGTGACTGGAGAAATACTTTTTCCGTTAAAAAATAATGATTTTCAAACAAATCATTCTTTAAAAAATTAAATAATTACGAAATACGTTATATTTAAAAACTAATTCGTTACACTTAAACGTCTCATTTTTAAAAGTTTTCTCACGTAAATGTTATATAGAAGCATTTAAAACAGCTGCGAAACATAAAAATAAGAATTTTGAAAGAAGCAATTCAGAATGGAAAGGTTCCAGATGTGGCTCCCAGGTTTTGGTCTTAGAAACAAAGAGCATGATACATTCCTAAGCCAAACACTAAATTGAGGTGCCTTTGTTTAATTGCTTACCAGCTTAATGATTCTCTTCTTACATTAGATAAATTTTACTTCTTATACATATATAAAAATATGTAGAGGTGTTTAAAAAAAAAAAATTATGTGGAAGTCACATTTTTTTCCTCTCTACTTATATATTCTCACATGGACTTCACATATTATTATATATATATATGTAGAAAATAAAATTATCCTTTATTCCATAAATATAATATGGGAAATGAATCGGTAATGTTACAGAAATAAAAGTAAGACTCCTACCGACACAATACAGAAGAGAGAGAAAGTGAGATAAGTGAAAGAAAAAAAAAACTTGTGAGTCCCTCGTTCTTATTGTGTGTGGAGGAATGAATAGTGACTTTTACTATCACATGATATATATATATATATATATATATATATATATATATATATATATATATATAACCCATATAATATACTATGTTGACTAAATGATCCTTTTGGCGGAGATTGGCATCCCAGTTTAGGATGAAAACTGTGCGTTACTATAAAAACATTGTGCGAGAAGGAATTTTTACCTGCTTTTAATATTAATATTTAGCAGTTGGTCGCTTCCTCAATCCTCAGAATTGCAGTAAAATCAAAGTGACGCTAAAAATTACTCTTTTCTGTTTTATTGGGGGATCACACGAGGAGAAAAAATGAAGAAGAAATACAACGAATACAACTGCAGTAATAATGGGGTGGGTGTGAATAAAAGGCTACATAATCTGTGTGTGTCCCATATGCTATACATTAGTCATCTTCCGCTGATGACAGAACCCTGACTTTATTTCTACAAGCTAACGAGGCTATTAATTAATAATACACAACAAATAAATAATACACACAACAATAAACTGTGGTGTCCACAATCAAATCAATAATTCACCAAATGAAACTTCGCCAAAAGCCATCTCTTTGCGTCCTAGCTCCACATAACCATACCCGTGGACATCAACAACATAACGATCCAATGGAACCTTCCTGGAAATATCGAGCTTGCTGCTGGGGGAAAATTATACCAAAACAAACACACCTTCAGAATTCTGATTTCTTGAAACTTCTCTGTTTTTTTTTTTTTTTCGTTTTTAAATGTTAATAATAATATTTATGAACATAATAACAACTGCTTTTTTACGGAACCTAGTTCCAAGGTCGGTAATTGGTGATTTGTTATACTTGCAAATTTAACATTAATATAATTAACTATATGATCAATAGAAAACAAAGGTGGCGAGTCCAATTTCACCTTGACTGCTATTGCCACTGCCACTGTCTGTGGTTGATTTTGCAACTGTAATTCCTAGTCTCGAACAATCAGATCCAAGAGTACCTTAAAAAAAAAAAAAAAAAAAAAAATCCTCTTCAATCAATATTAATTTTTTTTCCCAACATTATGTTACCATTGTCAAGGTAAAAATGGGTTTTGGATCCTTACATTCACTGTAACAAGGAAAGACGGAGATGTTGAGAAGATTAAAATAATTGGGGTTGCATTCGCATCTGTATGTATATGTCCTGTTCTTGGTGCAGCTACCTTCCCCACAGTACGCCCAATAGCAAGCTAACATATATTTTCATTTTGCATATGAAATGATTAGAAAAAAGAGAAAATTAAATATATAACCCAAGCCATATATAGTTACATGGAAGCTAAAACTTAACCAATTATCAATGTAAAACTTCTTTTTGATACTATCAATAAATAAGAAAGTATTATCATATAACTCATTAATAACATGAAACTTTTTTAATTGATAATCAAACTTATAAACTCTTAGTTATAGTAAGCATGTTTATAATTCTTACGATCAAAAGCTGAGAAGTTGTGGGGAATATCCTTCTCTGGGACTGGAGGTGGTGCTGGCTGGCAACCATAGTTCAAGCTACCTGCAGATAATAGAAAATTGACTGGTTAGTATCTAAGTTCTTTAACCACAAAATGCATTTATATATGAAAATAAGAATTGGAGAAGAGTGAATGAAATTTTACAATCGGGAATGACACATGGAAGAAAGCTAGTGGCATATGTATCATTGTCATCTTCTCGGGTTCGCTTCCAGCCAGAGTCGCATTCACATAAGAAGTTTAATGGATAACTTGAATTTACTACGCAGCTTCCTTTCCCACATTCCACTTCTTCACAAACCTTGTCTGCAATATATAGATATATATGTCAAATCTAAGTTATTATGCTACCACTTCGTATCCCTGCATGAATTAGATAGATAGGTAAAATTAAAAGAAAGAGATGAGTTAATAAGCACCAAGGAAATTATCAATAATATCATCCCCTTTGGCAGCCATGGGTAGCAGCAGCATCAGAACCATGGCCATTAGGCCCAACAACCTGGAAGAACTCATTTGGTAGTTTGACCAATGTTAAGAGACGTGGAGAGGGAGAGAGTATGAGAGAAGAAGAATGAAAAGGTATATGATTGGAGCAGGACTTGGATTTGTTCTTATAAACATTAAGAAATAATACAGAACAATTAAAATTCTGACGTTCTACATAGAGCAGCAGACTTTTGAATTGAAAAATGATATGGCGAGTCATCTAAGCTATCATTTTTATATTAAAAAAATTAGTATTTATTTGTTTTTCTTAAATGGTTATAATGTTTTTTATTAATATTGATGAGACCAACACTATATGGGCAGGCTAATATATATCGGGCCTAACCACACACAGTTGATGAGAGAAGGCTTTTGGGTTGGGCTATTTACTTTTTGGGTTATTGATGGAGAGATTGATATGATTCTTCTTTGGCGCGATGAATCCAATTGGGGTGAGTACCTGCAATGACACTCTGACGCTCAAGTCAGTATCGAAGCTAAGCTTATGTTGCATTCTTACTGAATTAGATGATCATACCTGTGTATGTACCCTTTGTTTATATAGTAAATCTGATGCCGCCTTTGATAGGTGGTATGTCTTCTGATTGGCTGTTTATGGGCGGCAGGTTCAGCTGGTGCCTTTCTGACTTTATCTCTATATGTCAACCTATCTTGGTGGAGTGGTGACAAGCTGGAGCTGTCCTTTATGTATTGGTTCTATGGCGCGGTGGCTCCTTATTCGTATTTATTGATCTATTCCTTAACTCTGAAGTCATGTTTAAAGACAGTTTAGGCGCAATGAAGCCATCGCGTCCTCTGATTCTTTATGCGCGATGGAGATATCGCACTTTGTTTGGGCCCTATGTTTTTGGGTCTTAGTCTTTGGGTTTTAGCCCTTGGTGAGCCTATTGTATTTTATCCAGATCAAATATATTTATAAATAATTAATCACTTAAATATACTTATTAAGTATAATTTTATAAAAGTACAAGTAAGTTAACATTATTTATTAAAAAATTAATTTTAATTCGTATAAATTTTCTTATATTAACTCATATATATTTTTACATCGTTAAAAGAGTTGGACATAGGGTTTAATAGTTATTAAAATGACTTCTTTTTATTATATGGAAACACATGACTTGATATTGTACAAATATTTTAGAAAGAAGATAAAGATTAAATTGAAAAAAAAAAAATTATCATTACTGCAAAGGATAAAGCTTCGTGCGCATTAGGTATGCACACACCCCTTTACACTGAGGGTATATTGCAGAATTAAAATATAAGTGTGCATAAAGATAAAATGAAATTATTGTAATTATATATAATGAAAAATTGTATCATTATCAAATGCGCCAAATAACTTCTTCAAGTATCATTGACAACAGAAAATAACTGACGTTTTTTATCACCACATTTCCTTTCCTGCTGCCTCGTATTCAAAGGATTTTAGGTCCTCGTCATCTAGAAGAGTGAAAAGTAAGCAAAGGCAGCTTTATTTTCTTCTATCAAAATTATAATAATATAAGTTAACACTAATTCTCCTTTCCAATCTTTTTCCCCAATTGGTAGCGTAATGGGTTATATAATAGGCCCTTGAAATCTGATTTAGGAGTAGTTAACCCTTCAAATCATTGACTAAATCAGAAGCCAAAGAGAAACGGCATAGAGATGAGATGAAAGTCAAGTCACATATTTAGTAATTGTTTTCGATGCGATCATGTTCCACATTAACTTCTAGATACTGAGTTGAAGTCAAATACCACGGTTGACCGTCTAAATACTTGGTAGTTCGTTTTGATGCATTCATTCTAATATGGTATATGAATATGAGAAAAATTATCTGTACAAATCATGTGAGATTAGGTAAGGAGTATGTAAGCATAAGTTATTGCAAGTGTAATTGCTCTATAGACATTGATGGAATCCCAAAGCCATTTGACACGCGAATCTCACTCTATAGGTAAAGCCATGTCAGGAGAGATAAGACTTCCTAACATGTAAGATCTTCCCATTAAAGGCCCTACAAGTTACAAGAGACAGAGCATATGTGCTAATGGAGGATTTGATGTAAAAACAATAAAGCACGGCCACAAAATGGTGGTAGCTCATTTGATAGCAAGGGAGCTGAGTAAGTGAAAAAGAAATGACTTCGGTTTGATCCCACATGTCATAGAGGTTTAAATATTTTCATCTGATTCGCTCCACATTCCGGATTAGTCTCATAATTAGCTCAAAGAATCGAAGCTTGTGGTGATATCGGAAAAATCCAACTCACCTCAAAGTAATAATTAGAGTTGGATTAACTCCGAACAAAAAAAACAATAAACCACGAGAAACGTATGGGGCAACACACAAGTAAAATGGAATTGGGAGCTGTTCGCCCGGATGAAATCTGTCAATAGGAATGGCCCAAAAGAAGACTGTGAAATACTTTCAGTCTTTAAATAAAAAAGTTTAAGTTACTCTGGTGAATAAGGTTTGGGCTAATGTGAAGTTATTGGGGACCTGTGACCCAGTCATTTCACCCCTATGCCTTAAGAAGAATTTTGTGTACAGGTATATTCCGAATCATACACGCTAACATTGTGTAGGGTTAGCACTTGTACTTGCGCGCAATGGATGAAGAACCTTTGTTGTGTTGTCAAATTCCTCACAAGAATTAAGCATAAAGAACCTAAGCTTACAAGCATTGCATGTACCTCAAAGCTCACTGCAAATAGTAATTGGTGCTTCGTAATTGTTAGGTCCTGGATAGACCGTATTGCTATATATCGTATGGTATGCGCTCAGAGATAGTGTATATCAGATGTATACTAGGCTTATAGCCGAGGTCCCAATCACTGCGCACAAGCAATAGGCTTATAGCCAAAGGGGTGGGTGTGTGCACAGTGTGGGCAGTATTCGTAAATAGGTTAAAAATGTTTACCTGGGGGTCTTTAGGCTCTTGTTTATAGGATTACCTTTGAGCTCCCCCAATTACAGTATGATTCAACTTCCTTTCTGTTGGGATATGATCCTTATCTTGTGCTCTCTGACTGTTATAGAGTTGTTGAGATTCTCATGAATCTATTTCTTAACAGGCTCTTAGTGGGTAGTTGAGATATGATATTCATATCCATAACAATAATTATTCTTACAAAATGCACACTGCAACTTTACTTACTTGGCTGTGACTAGAGTTTTGGAGGTAGAGAAACAGAATGACAAAATGGGAAGGCCAGCATATGAAAGGAAAAAGAGAAATTCAAAGGCTGTGCATCCTTCATCTTGCTAGGCTGATCCTTGGATTAGAGTTGCATTCTCACAACTTACTATTCTTTACATACTAATCTCACGCATTAGACTTGGTCTGAATAACATGCCACATTCAAGGGGTCGTGTTAATTACGGGCTTCGGTAAACAATACTACACGGTGGACATGCATACACTGGTAGAAATGCCCAAAAGTTAAGGCCGAAATCACAAAATTCAATTGGCAGAACGCAGAGATCTTGTTGGACAACAATCACCGCATTTAAGAGAAATCTGTCAGGATAAATGTAATAAAAATGAATAAAACCAATGTCTGCAAAAACTTCCCCATTTATGTCAACTTCATATCATGGTTCAACCATCTAAAATATGTGGACTGTTAGTTGCATAACAAAAATCTCCTAATGGCTAAAGCTCCTAGTTTTTTGTTAAAAAAATAGCTGCCTAATTGGCTGTACTAGTGTTGAGATATACAGTAACACATTGGTTGTATGTGTAAGTGGAGTTTATAAGGTTTTGGGCACTTCCACCATTTGAGCTATCTTTTGGGGTGGTGACCTCAAGGTTGTTAACAACTAGAAACTGAAAAATGTAAAATCTCTAGCCTGTAATATGGCCAGTGCATGTACAGAATAATCAAAGTATTTCGGCCTCAGAAATGCTGGGAGTGAAAAAGAAACTTGATCGTTCACATTTTAACAGCAGATAGTATGATTCATTTCATTATGTTAAAAGCATTTTTCCTCAGGTTTGCCTAAAAAATTATAATAATGTTCGAAATTGACTTATTTATTTAAGCAAGCAAAATTTAAAACTTGAACTTGATTTGTTTTAAAAGATAAAGAAAAAGATTAAAGATTCTTTAAAATAAAAGTTAGGCACGCTTGCTAGATAGAATAAAAACTTCTTTATCTAAAATTATTATAGAAGTACATAAATCATTATTATCTACACAACTTTTTTTTATCTAAAATTATCTTCTTTTTTGTTTATATAACATAAACACTCACACAAGCTGCTCACGAATTTTGATGATAAACCTATAAAGTTTAAACACAACTCATTTATTTAATAAAACCTGAAGTTAAACTTAGGCTTCTTTGTTTAATGAAATAAACAAACTTGATGAAGCATTTAAGGAAACAAACTCAAATGATTTACAAATACATTTGCAGGTATCACAAACAGTACAAATAGAATACCTTAATAACCCGCAGTACTAGGAAACAAGTAAAACAACACCAGTAAAATGTTTTCGGTGCTGTCAATCCGAATTTGGTGCCATTAACACCAAAGATAATAATAGTCAAAAGTATACCACTTAGTCAATTGCTTAACGTTAGGCAAGATCTCGTCTCTATTCATGGCCCAAAATCTGGCACTGTTATGCTTCAGTTTAACTGATTTTCTAGTCTATTTAAGCAAAAACATAGCAAGACGACAAATATATTTAATCAGCCTTCGCTCCCTTTGTGGAAAGGAACAAGGATCAGAACATGGAAAAATATCTATTATGACAATTATAAACTGGTCAGACAGGTAATGTTACCAAGAAATATCTATCGTCTGCTTTCATCAGTTTGAAAACTTGAGTTATCATTATTCAGTAAAGTGAAAAAGAAAAGGTAATGAAATACGTGATAGCCTACAAAAATCAAATGGCTAAATACTCGTATGAGAAAAGAAACACCGAACTCTAGAAATATGACTACAATACATACTATAGCAGTTTACGGGGATTCTTCCGGGTTGATAGTGTTCTCTTTGAAGCTCTTGCTCAACCAAATAGCAGTTTCCCTTGGGGAAACCTTCCCGGGCCCAAATGGTTTCAACAAAACCCCAAGCTCATCGTATCGTGCCTGCAGTAGCAATCTTGCACTAAATTCAAGCAACCCTTCTAAGGCTTCAGCCCTTTGTTGGAATGATGAAGTGTCAAACTGGTGGCGGTTCAAGTCTGAAGAGGTGCGGCTAGATGCACCTGCTGTTGCATTTTGATCAGAGGAACCACTTTTATCCTTATCAACTTCCTTCAACATGCTGCGCTTAATTCCCTGCCAATCATCCCTAGAACTAGGCCTAATAGAGGCTCTATCACATACCTCTACCGTGCATTTGTCTATCACAGTTGAATGATTGCCCTGAGATGGATAGCCTAAGGAACCTTGTGCAGAGGTTGATGTTCTATTGATAGGATATAATGAATCTTCATATGATGCCAATGGGAATTCAGCTATCTTATCAATACGGGGAGAGTTGACCGAGATGTCTGGCGAAGACACATGGCTCAGCAAACCAACACTGGTCCTGCAAGGAGGCTGCCGAATACCACCCCTTGTTGGCAGTGGAAATGATGCCCTGCGATTTGTTTGGGCAGATTTTGAGGTATTGTGTGAAACAGGAAGCTGCACCCACAGATTTTAGAAGGTCAGACATCAAAATTCTTTTTGGGATACAACATACTCTGAATATATATTAACATATTATAAAAAACTCCGCGATTGTCAAACGATGTTAATTTCCTTATATAGTCATAGTATAACTTCTGCAAATGACAATTATTTTCTGTTTTTTTTCTTTGTAAGAATATTTGGATACAGAGAAAATTTAAGAGACAAACACTAAATCCAGAAATCATTTTTCTAATAAATTTTGCTCTACTTTTTTTTTATTAATATAAATGGTATGACACAGTTATTTGACAGGAAACATTTAAGTGTAAAAATTGTACCCAGATGTCGATAGAGAAATCTAAATACTAGTAGAATTTATCTATATCAAGAAAAAAGATACTGATTTCATTAAATAAAATAATAGCTTTTGACAGGACGGGGGACAGTAATGAGATACTAGAAGTAAAGGAGTTGATTGTAATATTTAAAACTAGGAGGAAGGTTCCTGTCATTTGGCTATATACTAGGGTAGTTCAATATAACTACCCCATTCTTTAGAGAAATACCAATTTACAGGTGCAGGAGTTGTCCATTGTAAAACCACCCATTGAACAAAGGTGACCCGCGTACGTTTTTTCCATGAATTAACCCTGTGGCAAACATTCCTCCACCCCCAACCGAGAAAAAAAAGCTAGACACACAAAAACATGATGGACTTACAGCTCGCCTTGCAGCCTTTTGATTCTTTGAGGGTTCCATTGATTTCTTGTTGGTGGTAGAAACTTTTGTTGAAGAGAATCTTGGAGTCCTAGCAATACTAGAAGTTCTGGAAATAACAGGCTTATGGATTGACTTCACTTCACGGCTATCTCCAATACATAGTTCTGCCAACCTTTGATTCAAATGATCTGGAGTACAATCTATTTCTAGGGTAGAGCATATAGAATCTTGATCAGCTCCAGATACACTAGGATTTAGAGTCCGATCATTGCTTAAAGAATGACGCTTATCCCTATAGATGGAAACAGGATAATCTTCTGGCACCAAAAATCTAGTTTTCTTCATGAAGTTGGATTCTGGCCAATGAACTGGTAACGTACTTTGCCTGGGGCTATTGATTTTGAGATGGATCTTATGAACATAAGGTTGAAGATGTGGATGCCCAAGCAACTCTGAAGCCTACCAACAGAAGTACACTTTAAATGCGAAAATAGGTCCATGTGACAGATCAGATTTAAACACATTTTAAACACAGTACAATGTCTGCCCATAACCACAGGTAAAATTTCACCCGATGGAAAGCAGCAGATGCCAGCTAAGAACATCTATGGAGACAAAGGATTAAGAAGCTAGAAATACATTATACAAAAAGAAATAGATTGCACAACGATAACAAGAATCATTATGGTCATGTAGGCAGTGGCAACGGTCATCAGTAATATTATTCCGCAGAAGGGAATGAGAGATTATTCAGTACCCCCGGTGTATTATACTTGCATCATTTCTAAAAATATAAACTTGATTGTTTAGTTTTTATTTTAATTTTTCTTCACCTGTTTTTGAAATTAAATCAGTGGGTTACAACTTTAGGAAATGGTGTAATACACCAGAGTACAGGATAATCTCTCATAGTGAATAATGTTGTATCGTAATAATAAAGAAAGAACAGTAAGCATCAATATAACTGATGGAGACTTGGAGTATAATAAGGGTGATGATGAGTTGATGACAGGGCAGTCAAAGAATTACAGTCAAATACCAAAAAAACAAAATGGCATATTTTTACCACTCAAAATTAAGAGGCGTGGAATGTTTTTCTTCATAGATGTAGAGTAACCTTTGTGTGAAAAACATTTAAAACAAAAGATAAGAGGTTACACGAGGTTACAAAAGACCCCTTTGCAAGCAAAGTTACTTCATGATAATCCATTTTTTGCCTTTGAAGGTTTGACCTTGAAATGTTTAAGGACAGAAACATTAATTTCCAATTCCTCAGTCAATCAGGCATCATTAATATGCCCAAACTAATCAAACTTATTTAAATTGTAGAAATGCTTGTTTACTAAGCTTAGTATAATTACTACTCTTTTAAAAATCTTGCTACTGGTTAGGTACCCCTTCTCTACCCATTTAGATACCATGTTTTCCTATTAAGTTCACCCAGCCGCATCCCCAGCACCCTTGCTATATCCTAAGGCTTCACATCCCAATTCCTACCAACAATACCTTATATTTTATATAAGTTGTGTTTTATTGATGCAATGAAGTACTCAAAATCTTTCTTCTGTATCAAACAAAATTTGTTTAAATAAAATGATGATAGGCCGAAATGAAAATCACCATAAAATTTAATGTGAAATCCATCACCATCCCAACTCATCTCCAACCAGGCAAGCCCAGCCCAAAGAGATTCCTTTTGGTTAATCCAAGCTTGACATTCTTCGATCAGAGTTGAGAAAACACAGTTTAGCGAAGCAAATTAGAAGAATGCATACTATGGGCCCATGACATGTCAAATCTAACAAAGTTTGAGGAATATACAGTTGAATTTCATGCTTGTTCACCTGATAATAGCATAATTGACTCTCTATTCTACAATTGGTTCAATCACAAAAAAATGCATTAAGATGCCAGACGATTCACCAATACATTGCATTGAAATTATTCTAGGTCAGAAGAGAATAATTCATACACTGGGCCTAAGCTCTGGATTTTTCCGCAGCATGCTTTTAACAAGACCTCGACTGCCAAAAGGGAAAACAAATATTAATATTACTAGATCAATCATCAATCAGACAATACACAAATATTAAAAGATGATCACTATAAATTAACAAGATACCCCATTTTGAATTATCTTTGGCTAACAGACACCTGTTAGCTTTGGACAACTTCAGGTACAAGGTTTGCCATATGCTAAATTTTACGGCATAAGACATGACAATGCAATTTGCAAATGGCAAGATTAGCCATAGTAACTACATAATGAAAGAACAAAGACTTACAATGAACTAGAATATTTTGTTGGCAGTGGAGCCACTATAGACTTATTAATCTTGTTAATCAAAGCTTGTATATCCTGTTCAAAGAAATGGAAAGATAATTACACAATTTAATAAAAAACAAGTTTGCAGAAGATATAAAAACAGTAGATGTGTATACATGCAGCTAAATGAGTGCTGCTGCTGATATATTAGTGAAAATCATAGTAAAATAAAGAAATAAATACCCATGACTTCAAAACATAACAAGTGGGGGTACAGAAATAAAGTAAAATAACAGGATTTGAGTCTAGCAGTCAGTCCACAGAACACAAGATACTTATCCAAACATGCTAATGTGATGATAGTCAAATTGATAAGCAAATGTTTGTCTGATTGATAATAGACTGGAATTTGGTCATCCAACAGCAGAGATGAAAGTATTAAATATGCTCCGAGAAGAAAAGATACAGACAAAAAAATCCTGTTAATTAAATAAGAAACTTACAAATGCTTTGAATGCAGGCTTATTTGCTGTCATTTCATATATACAACATCCTGGATAAAGGATTTCAGAGATCATAATTACATTATAAACCAATAACATAAAATTTATGAAGAACAAACAAACATAACACAAGTAGTTACCCAAGGACCAAATATCCGATTTAGAACCGTAAGGTATATCAGCAAGGAGCTCAGGGCACATGTAGCTAGGAGTTCCCACCACCTACATTAGAAGACAATGACTCATTGAAGCAGTCATGTTAAAATTACAATCAGGAAGGTGAATTCAATTCAAGGATTACACATTTCTTACAGAGGAAGCAAGATCATCAGAAGTCAACATTTTGGCTAGTCCGAAATCACCTGCTTCATCATTGATCACTTGTAAGCAAAATTTCAATCATCTATGCCTTATTTGAAGGAACCATAGTATAACTTACCCAAACGTATGTCATAATCTTTGGTCAAGAAGATATTTGAACACTGATGGAATCATGCGATTTTCTCATTAGCGTATAGCTTATAGAATTCAGCTGGAAATAGAAATACCACTGCTACGTACATGTTACTAACCTTGACATCACGATGAAGAATGTGGTTCATGTGCAAGTAATCAAGCGCCATAAGAAGTTGAACAAGCCACTTACAAAGCTTCTGCATACAAATGACCTTTTTTAGATTTTTCAATGCAAAATTCCAAATGTTATCCTTATTCTTGTCCAAAAGGAAGAGGGATTAAAATTTCTGCAAGGAGAAAAAATCCAAAAATAACCTCCTCTGGAAACAGAACACCATTAGCTTTCTTTATAGCTTCCGCCCTGTGTTAGATCAATAATGTATTTTGAAAAACATTCATGTTCCACTTTACAAAATCTGAAAGAAAATACAACCATAAATTGTATGCTAGAAAAAGTTAGAGAAAAGAGACTTACATATCTCCGCCTTCACAATAACCTATAATAATGCAGACATAGCAACCCTGTGAAGGAAGGAGCCAAAACAGATCATGACTTAAACATCTTAGGAGTTTTTATGATACAAAAATCAACAAGAGTTTTCATAGTTGTGTTGCAATAGAAGCTTATTTCAGCAAGCCTCTTGCAGACATCAGTCTTGTAATTAACTGAGCAGATAAAGAGATGCAAAAAATAAGAAGCAAAATACCTTTTCTACCCATGAATCTTTATACTCCACAATAAATCGGTTTCGTAATTTAGAGATAAGCTCCATCTACATAGGCCATAAGAAACAAATATATTAGAAATATCCTGAACCATATCCACAAATAATTTTACATCAAACATTTGAGTCAACAGAAGTTTCTGCTAAGTTTACTGCCTAATTTTCATATTGAGGTTTCAAACTTGTTATTAGGCCTGTTAGCAAATGAGATTCTTCTAGAACTAGAACACAAACAAAATGCACCAGGAATCATGCAGCATGTGGCAGCATGTGAAAGACTAAAAGAGAGAATTTCAGAAAACAGAAAACGACACAAGATAATCAGTTAGTCCACTAGTCAAATCAGTATCAAAAGCTCCAACCTCCAGGTGTGCAGATCTACGAGAACGCTCAGTTTGGCGGGCAAGGCGAATCTTCTTCAGCACATATCTATATAATCAAAAATCAAAAGAAATAAGCTAAAGAGCATTATTAATAATGTTTTATGGAATTAGATTTGCATACATTGTTCTTTAAAGTACACAAGTGAACAGAGACAGACGAAAATAATAAAGGTAAGGTAGGTTCCATTCTCACTTTTTCTTCTCATGCTTATGTCTCACAAGAAGCGCAGAACCAAAAGCACCTTTTCCAATTTGCTCAAGTATTTCATATTGCTCCATGTCATCAATTTAGTAACAGAATTCCCTCTCCTGGGTACAGACCAAGTCAAGCAAGTTAGATCCATGCAAAAAGATTAGAGAAACCTTACTTGAAAGTTAAAGAAACAATTATTGTACTGAAACTAAGTGACTAAGAAGGAAATAACACTAGCAGCGAAGTTACTCAAGAATTGCATATGCTTGTAACTTAACCTTTCTCCTTTCTCCTTTCTCGAGGTAGAATAAGAAAAGTACGTTGATTATTCACCAAAAAGAAACCAACAAACAGTAATAGGTAATATATATATAAAAAAAAAAAATGTAGTCAAAAACCGGGTTTAGCAATGCTCATTATAATACAGGATAAAGTATAATAAGATGTAACCATGGATCACATTAAGTTATGCACGAAAGTTGAATAAGCAGGTCGCTAATTACTTGATAAATAGGTTCCACCACAAAATGATTCACGTAAAGAAGTAGTGTCTTTCCATTTATTGGCGAGAAACCAAGAGAAATAGAAATTAAAGAGAATGTTAGTCGAAAAAGGTTTCTCCGTTTAGCCATAAAAGGCATGACGAGGCACAAATCATGCTATGCTACTCAAAGCTGTACCAATTAGAGGAAATACTGAGATCACTAACTAAGTATGCTTTGCTCGCTCACCTACATTTCTTGGAATCACAAGGCACTGTGATAAACTAAGCAGGTAACGGAAATATCTAAACAGAAAGAGCGTTACAGGGGCCACGAATCGAAGCCAGCGAAGTCAAATGCAGAATAAGGAAAACAGTTACATCGAAGTGCAAACGAAGAAAACGGAGATAAATCATAAATTTTAAACGGAAAGAAACTAGGAGTTTGACAAAACAAATAAAAAAAAAAATGAAAGCAGAGTTGAATCAGTAGGAGATATAAAAGGAGAAGGCAAAATGCACCTGAGTTGAGTGAGTCGGTGGATGTAAGGAGTAAGAAGAAGTTGACCAGATCCAAGGTATTCAAAATGTAGAGGGAAGAGGAGTCACAGAGAGGAAAATGCGAAGTTGAACATTGGCGGAGAAGCTGCAAAACGACACCGTTGTTCAGGAAGGAGAAGCAGTAGACGAATTTGCAGAAGAAGCTCTTTTGCCATTCTCGTTCAGAGAAAGAAAAGGACAAAATCCAGAGAGATATCACATTGCAGTATTATTTATTAAAACAAGCGGCACCGTAATTCGTCTGTGAGAGTTGAGACTGAAAAGTGAAAACCACTGTCCCGTGAGGGAGAGATTTTTTACTTAACACTTAATGAGGGGAAATGTTTGGTGAAATTAAACAAAATGAGAGTGATAACGACGCGTTTGTTTCCTGTTTTGAGAAAAAAGAAGCAGAAACCGAGAGAAAGTAAAAGAGTGGAAGGTGGGTTGTCTCACACAGTCACCCTCGGTCTTCTCATCAGTAATTGTGCAGTTCTATAAGCTTTATTGGGCTTTGTTTCGAGGATATATTTATCCTGTAACATAAAACTTGACTCACGTTAAAAGCATTTTAATAATGTTATAATTTGATATATTTTATATCACAACATTTAAAGGTTTAATGAAAAATTAAAGGAGGGATGAGCGATAACCGTTGAAGATTATGATAGTCGTCTGGTTTGTAACTTTATTGGCTAACATTTTCTTTCTTTCTTTTAACTTCTCTTCATATTTTAGTGTTTTAATCCCGTGTCTTACCTTAGCTTATGTGTTTTTAAAATGTTACTCAAAGGGATTTTATATGTTTTAAGTCCTGATCTCAACATACAAGACGAATTCATATTCATAAATTTATTAACGAGTTGCTGAGTCAGTTGTCATTATTTTTATTATAGCGTATTTAAATATATGAGATGGATTCAAATCATTTGTTTCATGAACCCTAACGAGTTTCTTTAAATAGAATGATTTCTTGTTCCCCACACATGTTTTCCTTTAAAACATTTTTATAGTCAACTAAGTATATATACTAGCTATGTACTAAAAAAATAAAAGTATGTACACTAGCTCTTTTCTCTAGAGACCACGACTAATTTAAATTAAGAAAGGGAAAAAAAAAAGATATATCTTATTTTCAAGATTAAAAAAAAAATCTGAATAAAATAGATCAAACTGATATATAAGATTAATTTCGTTAGATGTGGGGAACTAGACATGGGAAAGCACAGTGGGACACACACCTTTGTGGTTTGCGTCTACCCCTTCTTCATATCTCGATCTCGAGTCTCAACCACCTCTTCTCAATCACCGCCCTTATCAACCGGTGCTTTTTCTTTTATTTTATTTTTTTCTCATTTATTTTAATGAAAATATCAATAACACTAGGGAAAATATTATCTTATGCTGTAGGAGAGTATTTTTCTCTCCTACACATACATCGACTTCCGTGATGCTTTTTTTTCTTTTTTTCTTTTTCTTTAAGAGTGGGTCTCACTCATAACTATCTCTATGACATAAGAGAGCTTCTCTTATATCACATGAGATTAATAAAATCCATAACACTATTGTACTTTTTCTTTTCTCTTTTTAATTTGTATGTACAATAATCAAAACATGTAGCAACTCTTATGGACTGTGGAGGGGGTGCGTGTTGTCTTTGTCAGATTCTGTCTCGGGGTTGATCTGCACTCTCACGCTCTAACATTTGTAGTCAAGTGTAATTCAAAAATTAGATAGGATATTTCATTATTAAGATACACTCGTGGAAGGTGTAATAAGAGTTACACTAAGCTGACTCTCCTTTTTAAATTAGATAACGATTTCTACTTCAACCCAAGTCTAAATACGTAATCATTTTCTCTCCTCCCAGACATTGCGTGCATGGCTTAATCAGTCATTACCATAATACCATTACATAGTAAGGGAGAAAATCAGAGAAATTATGATTGGTTTGCACATCTTCGCATCTATTTGCAAAAGTGAACAAACATAACGTGGATTGTTACACCCGTGGCGAGTATTTAGTGTAAGTGTTAAATTAGGTTAAAAACTAAAAAGGAAGAGCCGCATCAATAAGCGAAGGGTTTGCTTTTGTAGTATTAACTCTCTATTTGGATGGATTTTTTTTTTTCAAAAGCTATTTTTTTTTAAGAAAAAAATATTTTTTACTTTAAGTTCATTTGGATATTTTTTTTTAAAAAAAATCAATAATTTACTTTTTTCTTATAAGCTAAAAATTTTAACTTTTAAAAAAAGTAGACGTCAAAAGCCAAATATTTTTATAAAAATATAAATAACTTTAACTTTGTAAATAATACTTCTAAAATAAAGAAGAGATAAAAATTATTTTTTCTAAAAGTCCAAACAAACAGGATGTAACACACGTGGTTATGGCTGCTCCAATAGCCCATCCAATAAGAGTACAAATACTTTAATTAAGAATTTTGTTTTAAAATACTATTTAACAACTTCAAAATTATTTTATAATTAATTAAGCAACTCAACTATATTAAAAAAAATTTTAATAATACCTATCAAATTAAAAATATTACATATGTCATTTTGTACGTATCTAAGTTGGATTTTTTTTGTCCTTTCAACATTTTTACTGATAAGATAAATTTTAATGAAGTCGAGACCCTTAATTGATAATATAAAAATTTAATCCCTTGATTAGGTTATTATAAAAAAATTATATTGTCAATAATATTTCTCTCTTTAAAAATCGAAGTCAATGCCAAATATTAGTAATTAACAATTAGGCAGGATTGCAATGTGAATTCTTGTGAAGGACATAATTCATAAAACTACCAGGACTTGGACATTAGTTGTGAGCTTTGATAGTAAGGTAATATGATTAAATTACAATGCCACAATTGTAAATAATTAAATAAATGATTTGACATTATTACTAAGAGATTCTTAGATATATAGCACGACCAGCTGTCTTAATTTGTATATTTAGTTAATGATAATTCGAGCTAGTTTGCTGAAATATATATTGTGAAAATTAATTTCCAAAAAAAAATACTACTATTCTATATTAATTTAGTGGACAGATTGCTTAGAGTGTGCATGACAATCAATCTATTTCTTGACATTGTTTATAGAAAAAAATTCTTTTCTATTTTTGTACTTTGAAACAATTTTTAAGGAAAAAAATATGTTTGATAACATATTCTATTTTTATTCCAAAAATGAAAATTGCGTTTGATAATACAATAAATAATAGAATACGAAAATTTTCAGATCATCATTTTTCTTTTCATATGGTGTTGTGGTGGTGGTTGTAGCATGGCAATAGTGTGGCAAAGGTGGGGATGGTGGTCGTGGTCGTGGTGATGTTGGCGGCGGTGGTGACTACGACGATAGTGGTGGTAATGGTGACGATGATGGTAGCATAGTGGTGGTGGTAGTGGTAGTAGTGGTGGCGGTGGCGTGGTAATAGTAGTGGCGTTGACGGCAGTGGCTGCGGTGATGGTGATGGTGGTGGTATGGTGTAGTGATGGTGTTGATCGGTGATGGTGTGGCGGTAGCATCGTGATGGTGATAACGGCGATGGTAGTACGACGTTGATAGCAACAATGGTGGCATTGCTCGTGTCAGGACGGTGATGATGATACTAGTGGAGAGTGATTGAAAAATATAAGTGTTTCTGATTTTGTGACCGAGAACAAAAAAAAGAAAATTACTTTTTTCTATTCATCGGCACATAAATTGAACCAATTCATTATCGGGAATAAAAAAATAAACCAATTTTGTCAAACATTATTTCTATCTCTTTCTGTTTTCTGGAACAAAAATTAAAAAAAAAAAAACTGATTTTGAGAAGGCTATCAAGCATATCCTTAATATGTTAAGAGCTTATTTGGTACCTCTTTTTTTAAGCTAAAAACTAAAAAAAAAAAAAAAAAAAAAAAACCTTTAAAAATAAAGCTACAACATGTTTAATGATTATATAAAATTTTTAGGTTAAAAGTTATTTAAAACCTATTCATTTAAAAAAAAACATATTTAAAAAAAATGGTACAGCTTTAAAAAAGTTCATCTTAAGAGTTTTTGACCTTTTTTTCATTATAAAAA